CACACACACACACACACACACACACACACACGCACACGCTTCCTCTGGACTTTTACGCAACAAGCTACACAGACTATGGCAACAGCAGCTCCATATTCTGGATAGTTCATGTGGCAGTTCTCCATGAGAGACGAGTCAGAAAGAGCAGAGAAATGCAGAAAGACTTTCAAAGAAAAGAAAGAGAATGCAAACGTAAGAAGAGAGAAAGTCACTGAGAGGGAAAGAGAGAGGGAGCATGGAAGAAGAGAAACGGAGTGATTGACGATGCGAGCGGGTGAGACAAACCCTCTTTGTGCCCTTCACCCGCACCGCGGACTGAAACAGTGTCTGTGTGCGTGAGAATGAAGAGAGAGGAAGGAGACATGGTGATAGAGAGCAATCAGAGCACAAGAGATTGGCTGAGAGCAGAGGAGGGGCAGAGAGCGCGAGAGAGGGGGGGGGGAAAAAGATGCTCTGATAAGTCTGTCACCCCGAGGGGTTCATCTTCAGGGTTGGAGGGGAGCGGACCATCGAACATCAAACACTCGGGGGGAAATTCCACTGTTTTATGACAGGTTAACAAAAAATGTGACATTTTTATTGAAGTCCTTCCACAGGAAACAACTGAGTGTGTCAATGTGTGTGTGTGCATGAGCGTGTATTCATATCTTTGTGGGGACCAAAAATAGGAAGTTTATTATATTTATGGGGACCAGAATCCCAGTCCCCACGAGCTTGAAGGCATTTTTAAGACTCCAAATGTGGTTTTAGTGACGGGTTACAGTTGGGTTAGGCATTCATCTTTCATGGTAAAGCTGCAGAGCTGCTTCAGTGACAGACTGCTGCATCCTAGATGCATGAAGGAGCGTTTCCGCAGGTCCTTCCTCCCTGCAGCTGTCAGAACTGCTCCCAACAAACACAGATGTTTACATCTGCGCTATAACTGCAATAAGTTAATCAACCGATTCACACTACAACCTGCTTTGCCTCTTATCTGTAGCTATTTTTATTTAATTTAATAACTGTACAATACTCTCTGTATATAGTAACCACTGTCCTTGATGTAAATATGTAAAAATTGTGTACTTCCTGTGTACTGTTTGTTTGTATATCTGTCTTTTTGGCTGCTGTTACAACCAAATTTCCCCTTGTGGGACAATTAAAGGATTATTCTATTCTATTCTAAAAGCTCGGGAAAGCATTATGTCAATTAGATGTCCCCACAAGGTGTGTGTGTGTGTGTGTGTGTGTGTGTGTGTGTGTGTGTGTGTGTGTGTGTGTGTGTGTGTGTGTGTGTGTGTGTGTGTGTGTTAAAGAATGACGGAATTTCAGGAAGTATGAGGCAGCTTGTCCAGGCAGGAAAGGAACAACGTGAAGGTGGAGGCGCTGACATCTATAGCCGTTTTCCTTTTCCAGTAAACTCAGCACAGACTTTCAGGATGAGAACCGAGGGACCGATCTGTGATCTCTGCACGTCCGTCCACCTCGCTGAATGAGCAGCACCAGCTCTCGTTTAATACACCGAGTCAATGCCAAAAAGCACGACGGCATTTGATGCACAACGGAGGTGAAAACTCGTCTGAGCAAACAGTGATCTTCATTTTAAAATTAGTGGGCAGCCTTGTTTTGCTAATATTGATTTTAAACAGCCCTAAAACAAAGGACGTCGTGCTGAGGCCAAGAAACATGCGAGAGCGCACACGTATAGCACATCCTGCCCACACATGCAGTGTGACACCTCCCTCACACCTCCCTGGTTTCTAAGCAGCGTGGTTGCATTCACTATTTTGGCTCTTCCAGTCACAGAGGTGGAGTGAACCGTTTACTGTTACGCTCTCATTTTTCTCACCATCGAGCATAACCAACTCCATGAAACTGTCAGCACTACAACAACAACACATGCAAATTCTGCTGTCCTGTCGCTGGCTGCAAAAACCAAAACACACGGAGGAAGTGAGAAGTCGAGAGCGAGTGGTTGTTCACTCCATCAGAATAAAATCTCCAAGCTCATCGAATCTTTTTGGCTCCACAGAGAAAAACTGATCAGGAATCAAAAATGACGCATTAATAAAAGAACAGGAATCGATTCAGAAGGAATTTAAGGGCATCTCTTAAACAGAAACACTGAGTCAATAGAGTCCCATTAAAGGAAAAAAGAAATACAATAACTGAAAAAGGGGAGAGGTGGCAAAAACTCTGCTTGGCCTCTAAAATCCCAAATAAAAAAAAGAAAAGCGCAGTTACCAAGCTGAGCTCAACGATGGATCTACACGAACGTCTGGGGTTAAAGAGGCACACTCCAGTCACGCCTGCAGCTGGTTCAAAATGAAACGCGTAAATAAAAAGAACAAGCACACCTGTCGTGGCGGCGCTTCACTGCCTGCATGTGCAGAGTCCATGTCAAAGTTTCTGACCAGCAGAAACAGAAATCCAAGCTCAGAGGGGGCGGAGCCTGTCCATTATTCCACCTAGTGTGAGCACTTACTCGTTTTTATTTCATAATCGTTTTTATTGTGTGCATACAGCACTTTGTATCTGTCGTGCCTGCATTTAAAGTGCTTTATAAATAAAGTGGGTATGGTATGGAATAATGTTGGGCTAATACTGAATGTCCAAGAGAAATGTGAGCACAATAAGCCCCATTTAAAGCCATTTAAATCAGTTGTAGTGGGCCAGGCGCTTCATTGACAAACGCCAGTTCAGCTTTTGCTGTTACATTGAAGTCAGGTCTGCTTACTAGTGTGTTTAAGTACATTTAGTTCACAGGACTGCCCTTGTGGTACACATAAAAATAGAAAACAGTAGTGTGTAGCTCTGATTAGCTTGTTTGCAGCCGCTGGCTCTTTTAAAGAAGCAGTTTGATGGTTTATACTTTAAGTTTGTTATTGTACTTTTCTCTACTGGGCAGATGATCCCAGTGCTATCTCAACTCATCGATCTCTGTATGTAGTACAGCAGTAGAGTAGAGGGATATTACCTAATCACCGACATTTTTGTTTATGAAATACTCAAATGTAGTGATTTCAATGATGCAAACTGGGACACGTGGTGCTTTCTATACATGTGTGACAAACGAAAGACTGACTGTGAGCCTGGGAAAAAAACCCAGTAACTTGGGTCTTTGTTAAGAGCTGCCTGATTACCAAATAGCTGTTACAGACAGCTGAATATTCATGTTGGGTATTGTGGTTACTTTGGTTCTGCTTTCCTGTGAATTGACCATGCTGCTAACCCTGCTTTTGTATGTGGGGAGGTGGGTTTTCCAAGCACGCATATGTGAGGATAACGCGTGATATCATTGTATTTTTCTTTTTTATTAAACGCTGCAGTGGTGACTGATGGTTGCTGTGGGTTTTTGCCTCATTTTCCACACCGAGTCTGAACTTAAGGTGAACGCAGATAAAACTGCATTTATTAGTGATCGTGTTTCCGATGACGACATGGGTGTAGCTATTACTCAGCGATGAATGCCTCTGGAAGGTCTCTCCTACTTCTGCAGTGGGTTGCAAACTATGAATATGAAATTTGGTACCTGCACCGTGCAGGCGTGCAGGATGGAACAGCCGGAAGGAAAAGGAGGAGGCGATCTGATATTTTTCTTCCTGAAAATTAAGTAAGCTGAGTGTTGTTGCTAGGCAGTTTTTAAGTGAGTCTCAATTACGTAGGTGAGAACTACAGAGATAATGTCTGAAATGTTCTGACTGTGCAGAAACTGTAAGTCCAGGGGCTGTTGTTCATTAATTTATGAAAGTGTGACACATTGACATTTAACGAGGCTTCTTCCCCAAACTAAATGTGAAAACAGGGCAATTCCACAGTTACTCAAAATTACAAATTAAAACGTAATCATTAAAAAAAAAGGCTCAGCATGAATGCAATTAAGAGACAAAAGTTAGAATAAATATCTGAACGTAAATCGGAATACCTGACCTCCTCGCTGAGTTATTGTCTAAAATACAGTCGTCGCATTGATCGTTGGTGCTTTTCTTGAATTTTCCATCGTAAACTGAAGCGCAACAAATAAAAAACTGACAAGAAATGATGGAAACCAAGCGCTCGATGCTTGAAATTTCATCGACCCTTCTATAGATGACATTTAAATTACGCTCGGCGCTACAACAATATCTGGAATAACACTTTACACTGATATTATTTCAGCCTACGGCTTTCCATCTATACGATCATCAATACAAGCCCCTCATGTGCCTCCCACAGCCAACCCACACACGCACACCACCAGCCCCCACGGTTCCCATGACAATAAGAGGCTGCTTCTGGATTTTCACTCTCCGCCGGAGTCACGGCCAGTCGGCCACAGAGAGGATCAATAGAAGTATTGTTGCTCTCGGGATGGCTTGTCCTTCCAGGAAGTTACTGCTGCTGCGGGGGCCTGATCAATGAAGCTGGCAGAGAGGCCGACAGAGCTCACACTACATTGAAGTTCTCACATTCGGCTAAGCTTGAACACACAGACGGTCTTTTACATACGTGGCTCAGACTCATCTGCATGACAAGACTGACAGGAAGTGAACGAGCAGTTACAAAGTAGCGTGGAATAACACACAGAGTAAAAAGTACGACTTCATTATCACATCAGCACTCATCAGATATAATGTTCATATTGTCGTTCGTGCTTTTCTTTCAGTAAACACAAATCTCAACGCTAACAGGAAGTGATGCGTCTGAGAGGATGTTATTAGAAGAACTGCGCTGTGACTCAAAGGGAATTTCCCGACTGACTGTGTGTCTCTCTGTCACGGTGCTTGATCAGACGGAGAGCCGAGACAGACGGCCGTAACATCAGTCACAAGCTGGCTCGTCACCTGGTCTGAAGCGCACGCACCGCGCTCGCTTACAGACACCCTGCTTTATTTTCCCCTCGAGCTTCGCCTGCGTGAGACCGAATGCTTGTAAAGCGAGATAAAGACCGACTGATCAACCGCTGAGATCAAACCTCAAAGCCAGAAATGGAACAAACTGAAGCCAGTGGGACAAGTGAAACCCTACCCATTAGTATCATCAGAACACAAGAGAAAGAGAGAGAGAGTGGGCTGCGTTTTAAATGTCTGCCGATGTGTCGAAACACAAGGGATTTTTTCCCCCACCGACTCTCAGATGAATCTGAGGTGGGCTTGAGGGGAAATTCACAGTAACGGAAAAAGGTATGTAGGAAAGTTGGTCTGAGAGAAAGGGGAAGGGGTTTGATACTGGAAGTTTTCAATTCTAAAAAAAGAAAGAGCAGACGAGACCACTGTCTTCATCAGATCGTCTTCGTCTGGGAACAATTTTAGTGTTATTGAGAAAACACTTAAAAAAACAACCAAGTAATGTAATGTTCTGCCATGTGCTTTTAACTCGCACACACAACTGAAACAAGGCGGTTGGGACTGAAGGGGGTTTACTTACATTGACTTTGAAGGCCTGGACTGTGTTGTCCAGCAGCAGTACGTTGCACACAACCTGTGTGTGCTGCCTGTCTCGCTCCAGCTCAGTCGCCCGGACATTGTAGGATCTGCCAGCAGGCAAGCGGAAGCGCGCGCTCATCACGCTCCTACCAGGGTCTGCAACAAGAGAGGACACAGCACAGAGGAGAAAACGATGAGTGAGAGCAAAACCAAAACGGGGCTCGATCAGGGTCCGATCTGCCAAAGATCTAAGATTGCCTGTAATGAATGCATAACACCACGAAACTTAAAGTGCGCTTTAGGGGACAAAAACCTCTTTGTTCAAGGCTCGATCCATCTACAAACAGATGCACAATACGGCACGCAGCGACGGCAGCCGCGCAAGCCCGTGCAAGCAGGTCGAAGCATCGGCGAGCGAGTGCTTCATGGGAAAAGAATGTCAATACGCAAGCGGCAGATTCCCTGCCAGGGTGATGCGGCGCAGCCCGCCACCTCAAACACTCACGGGACAACCCAGGATGACACATTTTATTATTTTAAGAGGCAATTAGACTTTGTCAGTGAAGATGCAACAACCGGGGCCATGCTGCCCCGTTTATTACAAGCTTCAAAAACCACAGCACACCTGATGTATCTTTCCAAACAAAGAACAATTCAGTTTTAATCTTAGTGGGGAGAATTAATGCAGCACGCTGTTAGCACGCCGCTATCTAAAACAAAAAAGGCGCCCTGTGATGGCAGAGCACAGCTGAGTAGGTGCAGCTCTCACTGTGTGATCTGTGCAGACACACCGCTGATGGTGATGATGATGATGGTGATGATGAGGAGGAGGACGACGCAGCTCTCACTTCCAACATGAAGACAAAAACACGAAGGCTACAGCAGAGCGAGAGCAGCGAATGACGGACCTGCTTCACACAAAGCGACGAATGAGTAAACCTCCTATAGTCACTGATGTCGACTGAAGGTAAAACATGAAGGTGTGGGATTTCTCTGCTTTTACACCCTGCTGAGGACTCTTTCACGTGACTCTAAATGTGTTTGTAATCTCCGTAGATGAACAGTTCTTTCAAAGAGTAAAGACAAGATCACGGGCACCTGTTCCACATGATTTTCATACATTATGATGCATATTCTCAGATTCTAGAGCAGCTCTTATCCAGAGTAAGTCTTCATTATCTCAGACCAGGGCTGTTCTATTTTCCTTTAAGCCACGTTTGTTCTGGATGGCTGCTCCATGCAAACCGAGGGTTTTAAAAAAGATGATTGGTTCACTTTCCACAAAGAAGAGACCTGCAATGTAACTTGGAGAGCTTCACAGGAAGAGATAAGCAGACCTCGTCACCTTTGCTGCTGCTGAGCTTCCTGTTTGTCAATTTCAAATGAAATAGCGACTGAATTTTCTGAGCTGCTTCAGAGAAATCAGACGGGCCCGTTTCCCCCACAGTGTTTCACTTTTCCTTTACAATAAACTGTGTTTCTGTCTGATTATCTGATTAGTGAGTAACAGTTCAGTTCTGTGAAGCTTCTGATGAGAAGTCGGTGTATGGGCTCAAAATGTGGTCATAAATATTTTGTACTTGTAAAAAAGATTTGGGTGTGCGTAAAAAAGATTTGTGTGTGCGTAAAAAAGATTTGTGTGTGCGTAAAAAAGATTTGTGTGTGGACCCTGCAAGTTACAAGTACGGATTTTGACCCTATTTTTCTTCCTTTCATCTGATTGGTCAATGTCATGTCAATCACAAATGTAACAATCCAACCAGAGAACAGATGGGTTTGGCTGTCGAGGGGCGCTTTTTTTGAACTGCAGGTCTTTGAAGGGAATAAATGCCCTTTTATATGCCAACCCAGCGTTGTCCTTCATCACCACGAAGGAAAACAGTCTGTGGTCGTCCGAGTTTGGTGATTTTTGTGTCACAGGTCTACGTGTTTAATACAGGGACTTCCACAGCCTTTTCAACAGCGCTGCGGACCGCGGGGTGGGGGCGGGCAGTGTTTTGGAAATGACAGTCTTCATTACAAAGCTTTCTTCGTTATGAATTAGCATACATGTTTTTATTGAACATTTGAAGAACCAGCAAAAAAAAAAACTCTTGTAGAGGACATAAAGTCAGAGATAGAAAAGACAAGGAGCAGGTGCATCTAGTACAGGTAGAGCTGCTGCAAAAACCCACAGAGCCCAGCAGCCAGCAACAAATTCTGGATCCTTTGCTTTTAGTTAGCAGTTAGCATTAGCAGCACATCCTGCGTCCGATGTGAAAGGACTTTTATGCTGCGCACTGTGACTCACAGCAATGGTCCTGGGTCAGCCCTGACTTTGTGTTAAACTAATCCTAAAGTAATAATGTTATTTCTAACCACTGATATACCACAACTTTTTCCTTTCAACAGCTACTGAAAGTTAGGGGACCTAGCTGCTATCGGATATTTATATAGCGATCCTCCAGCTTCAAACTGTATCACCCTTCAAGGACCTGCAGTTCAAAAAAGCGCCCCTCCGACAGCCAAACCCATCTGTTCTCTGATTGGATTGTTACATTTGTGATTGACATGACATTGACCAATCAGATGAAAGGAAGAAAAATAGGGTCAAAATCCGTACTTGTAACTTGCAGGGGTTTTTTTTTCTAAGTCCACACACAAATCTTTTTTACGCACACACAAATCTTTTTTTACACATACAACTCTTTTTTACAAGTACAAAATATTTATGACCACATTTTGAGCCCATATCGGTGGCTCACAGACTGTCTGGAGTCGTCGTTAAAGCCGTCTGTCAGAGGCTGGTCAATGAAACAGAGGAATGATATGATGCTGCAATGAGCTCCAAGCCCTTCCTGTCCACATCCTGCTTTTTTACTTTTAGGTCATCTAGCATGACTGCAGACGTGACAAACCCACAGGGGTCACGGTGCTGTCATCGCGGGCTGCTGTGTCTGTAGCGACGGATCTGTGGATGGGGAGAGCTCTCCGAGCTGCTCATCACTACACATGAGCACAAACCAGGATGACCTACTGACAGATGGTGCGCTCTCTATAAATGCACATTTATACTTCAGGTCACTGCTAACAAACTCTCCCTCTCACACACACAGACACACAATAATCTATATGTCATATGCACAGAGGAAGTTCTGACAGTCGCCTCATCCAAAAATAGACCAAAAATAGACACAATGACATGTGACAGACATCTCAAGAAAGCATCTATCACCCTGTGGTCACATTATATTACTTCATCGTGCTGAATGTCCAGTGACTTAAGAACAACTCAGGAAAGCATAAAAATATGAGAAGTGCTCCAAGAGGGCAAACGTCCACCAGGGCCAGTGGTTTATTCTATATATTCATTTAGCTTTCTTTGCTCTCCTTAAATGGACTTTAACTTTGTAATTCTACCCTGCTGAGACTCATTTTAATATACCTGACACAATTTATGTGGATATCATGCATGTATAGGATCATTTTTTGGTAAAATGCCTGTAAATGTAATAAAGTGAAAAATGTTTTTGATTGAAACAGTTACAACCTGTTACTGTAACATTATCCTTCCTTATATGCCTACATCTCATCAGTCCAAACACTGGCAGTAAGACACACAGTTTTAAATGATCAGATCAATCTACTGACCTTCAATACACAAGCTCAAGCTATGAGGTGTTTTTTCTTTTGGCCATTTTTTTAATCATTAAGCTGACTTGAAGACCTTGGTGGATATAAGTCAAATTATAGCTATCGTATTTGCAGACAGCATGACGCTGCAGGTGTTTAATACAAACATAAAATATGCAAAGTGTGGATTCAAAAGCATCTCGCCTTCACTGAACTAACAGGGAAACCTCAGAAACTCCAGCTAAGCATTTCTCACATGTCAAACTCCTCTGTTCAATGACAGGCTGGTGAAAAATATCCATTTATTATTTTAGTTTCAGTTAACTCATTGCCCTTTGCTCCCCTCCTCCATGCAAAGATAAAGAAAGGCATGTCTTTGATAACAATTTCAAATTATAAGATTCAAAAGCACAACCGCCTCTGCCATCCCCGAAGACCTGACCAAACCCAGAAGCGCGATCTCTTGTGCCTACTTACCGTTTACTGACATCTTAAACCGGAACATGTATGTAATGCCTCCAGCTACTTAATTACAAAGAATTTTTAAATTCATAAATTTATCTCTGATGTTCAGTAACAATCTCAGAAGAAAGCTCAACTAGCAAAGCATTAGCCTATCGAGGAAAAAGAAGCTACAATGTGCAGCAAGCTGATTGTTTATGATGTCACAGTAACCAAACTGATCACACAAAGACATCAGTCTGTATCGGTCTTAATCACATCAGTGGGTCACAAAGTTTACCACGTCCGCTCACAATTTCCTGGGCAAGAACTGCCACAGCATCAGAGCACAAAGTGCTGCAAGATGCAGAGCTGGTCGTGCTGTAGGTGCTCCTGGTGGGATCGGTATATTCTGCCAGCGGAACGAGCACGCTGGCCTCAGTGCGGGCAAACGCACGCGGACGTGGCCAAGCATGCGCGATGATGCCAGCCACAGCGCTGCAAGCTTGGGAAACAGAGCGAATGGAGCAGGGAGACGGATGCAGGGATGAAGCCATGCAGAAGGAAGGGAGGGACGGAGCAATGTGCTCCTATCGCCGGCTCTCTCCGAGGACGAGCTGTGGGATAAACACACACACACACTCCACAGGCTGTATCGCCTTGCCCTGCCCTTTTCCTGTCCTAACGTTCTTCTGCTTATCCACATGAAGACAATTTCAAAACTGCAGACAGGATGATCCCATCCTGTCTGCAACCATTGAATCACGTTTTCACATGACCTACCTGAGCCTGAGAGCTTTCATGATCAGTTTAAAGTCCGGCATAAAACCATTGTTTGAAATATAAATGAAAATAGTTTGTCAAGAATGATTTTCATCAAGGTTTTATCTCATTCGATTTGTTCTCATGAACTTTTACTAGAGTGACGCAATTAATCGAAATGTCTATTCAATTAAAATTGTGGCCTCCATGGATTAGGAAAACGAGATAAAAGAGATAAAACAATTATCGTGCCTGCTTCCTTTCACAACAGTGCTTTTATTTTGTCTGAGCCGCCACAGCGAGCAGGCTTATTTTCAGCCTGAGCCACACACAGAATCTGG